GATAAATTTGTGTTATGGCGATTTCGAACCCAATGCCACCAATCCTAGCGCCACTCTCAATGCCACGAACTGCACAACACCTTTTGATTATGGTGCGTTAAAGAATCTGCGATACAAGTTAGCGAATCACACTCCTGACATGGCTCACAGGTTCCCTCAACTTCTCTGCGCTGCTCGATCACCAGCTCAGCGTTGGCTCTCACTCATTGAACCTGGCAGACTTGGGTTTGACCAAGGATATCCAGGACAAAATCAACGATATCCCCAAGATCATTCGTGCCATCGTTGCAACGTACATTATCGCCGCGGGCTTTATTTGCTTCGGTCTCATTGCTTCCGTCGCCGCTATCATTCTCATACCTCACCCATCCGGGCAGATGATTGTCAAGGGAAATATAGGCCTTGCCAGCCTTGCCGTCATCTTCCTCCTCATCGGTAACCTTATCACAACCATCGGAAGCAGTAAGGTCGTCGAGGAGGTCACGAAGCATGGCAACCACCTAGGACTGTACGCGGAAAGGGGCGTGAAATACATGGCGGTGACATGGGCCACTTTCGGAATTATGCTCCTCACAGTCTTCTACTGGGTATACGAGTTCTTCGCAGAGAAGAGGCGAGGCTCCGAAGAGATCAACCGGGCAATCGGTGGATTCAGCTTTAGTCCCAAGTCTGAACCGGCCTGGAGTGATACATCCTCTGGTCTGGCCTCGCGAGAGAATTCATTCCCGCGTCAGAATAGGGCAGGGGTGTTTCCGCCGACGCACGCTCCTGGTGGAAGGCCTGTGAGTCCCATGGACGATATCCCCTTAGATGAGCCCAATTACGGAAGGGGCACACATGAGCCAGGACCTATATCTCCCCTTGATCAGGGGGGTTATAGTCGGTACTATCAGTCGAGCTTTTAACGATTATATACTAATACCTTGTGTGTACGGTCTTCTCCTCTGGTCCTGTCGTTCCATCCGTTCCACTTACAAGCTTCCTAGTGTTCGACTGTTATTCCCTAGCCAACTCGAGAGAAGCTGGCTCCGCAGCCGCTGTATCGAGTTTCACACTCCGGACCTTGCTTCAGCCGATTGTGAGGCAGTATGCCCAGGTGATGACCCGTGGACCCGAGAACTGGTGGGAAGAATGGAGGCGTTGTTCGGAGATGTGGATCCTTGTCACACCCGATGCTTGTATAAATTGGTCCCTGGATGGCCTCGAATAAGTAGCATTCGAATATTCCTTTCTAGCTAGTATTGCCATAAATTAATCAAGCGCGTTGCATATATCCTGGTACTCAAACGCATGTGCATGAAACCTAAAGCTGGACATCTCAAACTTCCCGTGCCCAGGAGAACGCCCAGAGAATATCACCAATATATATTATGAAATCCGGTGAATACATACAATACAGCCATGAACGCTGGGTTCCCAGTGGAACATATACCACCGTACTGCGCATATTGGATCTGCCCGGTCCTCTGCAGGAGTGTCAGCGTCCAGAGGTATGGGAGGATCAAATATGATGTTTGGAATACATTTTCGCCAGTACTCAAACAATTTCAGTATCTTCGAGTCCTCATTGTGAGCAAGGTGACTGAAAGGTAATATATCATACGACGTGCTGCACTCCCTACGAGGAGGCATATGTGAGTTCGAGGCAGATGATAGATAACCTGGCAAGACATGGGGCACATCAAGGGGGTCAGAAAAGAATAATGAAACGTCGTCATTCTCATCCACACAGACCCCCGCCATCATTCCGGACTTAGTCCACTTCTCGTAACGTCGACTGGCACGCATCCCTGAGTCCGATGTTGAACCGGATTGCAACCGACATTTTCCCACTGCACCCTTCGTCCAGCCCCTGCGGACGAGAATGTAATTGTTCATGATGTCAGGCTATCACGACAACCCTGCGGCTTCCCTGTCTGGCACAGCGATACCCTCGACGAAGTCCGAATCCGCCGTGACTGCTTCTCCGTACCTATCGTCGCCAATTCCGGCATTGCAGGTGCCCTACAACAATCCCCTCAATGGAGCCGGACAGACTCCGAGCCCAGCGTATACAGCTACTACTCATGGCAGTCTGGCTGTGAACCTTCAAGACCCAGTTAGCCATGGCATCTTGAATCCGGTACAGCAGCAGCAACAACAGCAGCCATCACACGTTGTCAACCAACATGGCCACTACTCCTCCGTCGAGAACCATGGATCCTCTGCAAGTCCACAAAGCCAGCAGGCACCGACACCCGCTGCTTCTTCAGCTTCAGCCCCTTTGAGGAAGAACACGCGAATACCCAGGGCTTGCGATCTCTGTAGCACGAGAAAGGTCAAGGTCCGTTACTTTTTTACAAGATTGTTGTCCTATCGAGTCTGTACTCAAGCTGATGTTATTTCTGACTTAGTGCGAAGGAGGACCCCCTCCATGCGGACCCTGCCGAGAGCTCAACGTCTCATGTACATACGACCGCGTAAAGAAACGACGAGGACCTCCGAATAGAGCCGCACAGGCAGCAAGAGAAGCCGAAAAGAGACGAAGGCTCGAGTCTGACGCTCCGAGTGACACTGCGACTCCGCCCCATCACAATGCAGCCCATGCGCTCGTCTCCTTGGGCGTTCCGGACTCACCTGTGGTCATGGATGCCGAGCTATGTATCGCACCCATGGGAGTTCTCAGGCTCTTCGTCGACGACTTTTACACCTACATACATCCTCTCGTTCCGTTCCCACACGAGCCCACATTTCGCAAGGCATTCGAGAATCGTGAGGATCGGACCAACCCCGAATTTCTGGCCTTGCTGGCGGGGATGGTCGGTTCACTGGTTGCATCTTTCCCACGCTCGGCGCGCCTTCATCTGAAGGCGGCTCACAGCTACGAGAAGTTTCCAAGATCTATAATGTTGGTTGATCGATGTATGAAAGTTGCTCTCGATCTGCGGACATCCGACTTGATGCTCAAAGACACGGTCACGGTCAATGACGCGGCCATCAGCTACTTTTTGAGCCTGGAGGCAGGTTATACAATGCGTTGGACTCAGTGTCGTCGGTTCTTAGCGGAGTCACTACAGTTTCTCCGGGAGATGGGCTTCCACAGAAGGAGACCACCTCCCACTACACTCTCCTTCGGGCAAGACCGGCCTGATGATCAGCCTACCGACTTTATAACTGATGAGATTGGAAAGCGCATTTACTGGACTATTTTCGTAGGCGTTCGGTAAGCTTCATCGAGTCGATATGCTTGTGGCCTCGGATCACTGACACGTTGCAGATCGCTGACCCAGATGGGCACTTCCTATCGAGACTTGGTCATCCCGCCAGCCACGCCGAACGCACCATATCCTGATTTGCCACGAGAGGTTGACGATGCGTACATTCTTCCCGATAGGATCCTACCGCAACCCGAGGGAATCGTTTCTGTTTTGACTGGCTTTGTCAAGGGAATCCAGGTGTACGAGACAATGGATGACCTCGTGCGAATAGAGCTCGCCCACGGCTTTTCAGCATGTACATGGGAGCAACAGAAGAAATGCCTGCGAGAATCTATGGCCAAGGTCAGGACCATCGAGCAGTATCTTCCACCTGTGCTGAGACTTGACATGAGCTCCCGGACGCCAAACAAGGGCTCGTTCGCACAGTCAGCGCAGGCCAGCTCAAATAGCTACCAATACGTTCCGCCTGCATATCCGAATACTCAACCGAACCATGACGTCCGGCACCTAGTCGCAGCGAACGAGACGGAGAAGCGATATCTGCAGTACGAGATCCAGAAAGCTAACACATATGCTTCCTGCTTGGGTACCCGGTCTCACTACGTCGAGCGTTACCTGACCCTCAGGGATATCCACCGTAACAACCAACGTGCCGAGCAGGCACGCACCACCGAGCCAGGTGGTAGCATCATATACAGGACAGCCTCGGATACATCCTCGTCCCTGGCAGCGGCCGCCATGCGGGCTGTCGCCGAGCGGGACGAGGTCGACGACATGTTCCTGGCGGAGCGCGAGGAGGTCGTCCACAACTTCTTCACGGTCGTGACGTCCATCGAACAGCGCAACATGGAACCCAACGGCGGCTCTATCATCAACAAGATCCGCCAGGTCGCGAGCACGCTGCTAGGGGACCCGGTCGACCGGAAAGGGCGGTACGAGCTGCAGAACGAGGAGTATCTGAAGGTCTTCCTTGAGATCCTGACCCGGTTGGAGAAGACAGGCACCGGCACCACCACGACTCCTGGCGCCCAGGCGGGTACTACAATGACGCCTGACGATGAGGAGCAGGAGCTGCGCAACTGGGCGGACCTGCGGGAACAGCAGCAGCGTATGGCGTCTCGTGCCACTATGGCGTGAAGAATAGGCTATATGTATTTTACTTGGATAAATTGGGCGCATATAGAAGGATGAAATTAACATTTTGTACTTAGGCATTGCTAGCGCATAGGAAAATAAGGAAGCATTTTACATAAGTTGGGGTGAACCAACAGGTCTTCTGCTGCCTGGGGTTATTTGATGTGGGCTTTTTCCTAAACCCCTGTCGAACTTCCCGGTGGTGATCTGTATGGACCAACATCATTGCTGTATCTAGGAGTATCGCCGCAACAGCCGAGGCAAGACTCTGACAACTCGATTCGATATATACTGATCAGTCAGATTAAATCAATTCATTTTTGGAAGCCAAACTAGTCAGTTAGATTCGTTGGCACTGCATATTCTTGGCTCCTCCATGCATTGTCGGTTCCGTCGCCAGCGGATCAGGGGTTGGTGGTTTGGGGGGGGGGGGGCACTAGCAACCTCATCACCAGAGTTTCTATATTAAAGTGTTTGACCAAATATCTAGCATTAAACCTGAATATTACCTAATGAATTTGGTATCAATTTATAGAGCTTGAAATTCTCTATCGAATGGTATAGGTCTGGCAATGATATCTGTTATATACGCGGTACGGTGAGCCATTGTTGTCACAATAGACAGTATTAGTCTATATATCAAATATTTGACCTTATTTTAGCAAATTAGGGCTGTTGGCGCAATGGCTAGCGTTCTAGTTTCCGAGATATCAGAGATTAGAAGTTACTAGAGGTTCTGGGTTCGAGTCCCAGGCAGCCCTTTTTTATCTTCTTTTTTGTCTGTTTCCGGCTATAGAGATTTAAATTATTCATTTGAGTTTGATACAGTTACAGAAGGTTCTGGGTTCGAGTCCCAGGCGGCCCTCTTTTGTTTTGGGAGGGTATTCTCACCTTTTTGTTTTTGCTTTCTCCTTCCAATTAAGCAGCTAAAGTACCGGTACTATACATCGATAAATCACAGGCGGTAGCTTTATTCCTATAGTTGTGTAGTGGGTACCCCGAGAAGTAATTCTAGCTAGTAGTTACAAGGTGACTACCGTCACCTGGGCATGTGTATACGGCGCTGACGACTCAGTAAGCAGAACTGTTGCCTCAAGTCGATTTATATGCCCTGGTACAAGGGGAACACATCATTAGAGCATTCAAACCAGAATTATACTTACTAGGAGTTCCTATGTTCCAACAAAAAGCGAAACTCGTTGATTCACGAGTTACTTCAAAAAGATGCGGATCCCAAATGAGGCGTGTATGCTAGCGAAGGCCCTCCCTTGTTGAACTTGGAAAAAGACTTCGCTACATGATCCACATACCATTGCCAATACAAAGTTTGATGTCTTGCACGCAACCTGTCACTACATACAGTATAACGAGCGTACCTCAATCTGGGATTTGCTGAGTCGAAGGGATTGCCGTAGACGGGCGTTGCTGATATCTAGTGTTACTCGATTCCCCTCGGAGGACGTGGCTCGCCCGGGCGAACCCCACCTGGGAATAGGGTGCTTCTACCACACGTAGACTTACCGGGCTCACATTTAGGTCTGTATTCTCCCTGATGCAACGCTGGCATACTTGATACGGTTGCTGTGGGTGAACGCATCCATGCATACAGCGACGCTTATTTCCCTGTTTGGTGCGCGCTATACCTCCGGTTGGCACCCCTTAGTCGTCCTCGCTCGCTTATATCTTTTGCTCGATGTTATACTCGACCATCTTAGTGTGGGAGAGATCTCCCGGGTGAGTGAAAAAGGCAAATGACACCTGAGACTTTCCGTTCAAAGTTGGTCTCTTGTGCACTACTTCTCTGTCTGTCTACTTGGTAAAGGTGTGTGGTGCGGCGTAACTATGGAAGACCTGTTGCATGGCTCAGCATCTGGTACGATGGGCGAGGCTAAGACCATGCGAATATTTAGTCGAGCGTTTGGATCCTCCTCTTCATGTATTTGCGAAGTCCTTTCCTGTATATAAGTATATGTTTCGCACGCCACTTCGCCGGCTTAGGTGCACCGGAACCAGGCGCCACGATTTCTACGTCATGTCATCGCTGTATGACTGGATCAATTGATGAGTTGCAAGTGTACCCTATTGAAGGGTAATTGTCATACGCAATAACAACCTTCAGACCTTGATTTCCATTGCAGGAGAGGTGACTTATGATAATCTGAGTAGTAATCAGTCGTCTGGTCCTACCTGAGGAAAAAATTCAACCCTTGTAATTAGTTGACTTAAGGACCAGTATATAGATACAGCCATTTTCAATCCATGACTGAACGGCAACTCCCCAGGTGCCGAGGTTGAAGACTTGTCCACGCGTATTCCTCAGGTGATTATCTAGTTGATTGGATGTGCTTCTTTGCGGTGAGCATTGCAGACCTAGGTACATTATAGTACTGTTGATCAGTTCTGCGGTGCCTTCGGTTGGGCAATTCTCCGCCCTTGTATACATTTCCCAGAGTTTCCGCTCAACTACTTATCTCACTGCTCGGCGTGCCACCATGAAGCACTCAGGCTGCAAGTACGCGCGTGCGGCCCGTCTTGCTAACCTCTTGCCCAAGTACTGGCGAAGCGGCACCGTTATATGAATTGGCCCCGCAGTATGGTGAAGAGTAAATCGCCCCCATCTCTTGATTTAACCCTTCCTCGAAGTGGCCAGTCAGCACTTTCGTCTCTACGCTCCTCGAAAAACTCGATCGATTCGCCGTCATTCTCAAGGTGCTCGATGCATTTGACGAGCTCACCACCAAGGCGAAGGAGGCAGGCCTTCTGGAGTCCCGACAACATTGCGACACGCGCTACGCGAAATGTTTCACAAACCTCGTCGGTCAGCCGCTCCTGTGGGACGCAACTGACACGTTAGTCATGCGTTACCTGTACTTCGATGAAGCAAGCGGCATAGACATGATAGAAGATGGAGACTCTCACATTGCCCGCAATAAGGCTGGAGTCGTAATCCACGCTGCTACCCCCGACTTCCAGATTCGGGAGAACCGTGTGATCCGCGCAATATTACTTGCGCAACACCAGAGTGTTCATGCTATCTTGCATGATCTGGTCGCGCGCTTCTGTGTGCTCCTCGGCCGTCTCTCGATTCGCCTGTTCGTCATCAATCGGTCCTGAGATCTGTGCTATCGGATCGTCGCCTTCTTGATACATTTTATTTTGCTGGTCGTTTCGCGCCCTTCTCTCCCTTCTTCGCTGTCTCCACCTTTGCTTTCGCTCCCTTCGCGGTTTCCGTGCCGCTTCGCTCCTCTTCCCCTTCGACATCTTGGTCAGTCCGATCGCAGTTCGTGCGGTTATATGTGATCGCGCCGCAGCGAGTATCCCAAGCAAGAGAGCCGATATCCAGGTCTGGCGTACTTGACGACGTTGACGACACCAGAGTCGACAACGTAGGCGATGTCTGGTATGATGACACTCGCCTCCGCGATGTTGGTGGAGAGGACGCCTTCCTCTTGCCGGCCTAAGCGGGGAGATAGACAAGGTTCTGTTGATCACGTGCGAGCGAGGAATAGAAAAGAAGGGCTTGAAGGTCTGGCAAGTCCTATCGCGAAATATTGCAGCCTTTGTAAATATCTCGCGCTCCAGCAGAATGGCAAGAATATGGTCAGGCTGCTCGTGATCTGGTCGTAGTTCTGGTGGATGCACGCAACCTGCATCAAAGCGGCTTCGAAACTCTCCTCCATAAAATGTTGGATGGTAACAGGTCGGGTTGGCCCATCTTGTGCAGAGATTCATTTCCAGGTAGTAGTCCTGGAGCTGCTTGGCATCCATGGTGGCGGACATCATAACATGATAATCAATGCCGTGCAGGTCCGCGCGCTTGGTGAGGGCATATCGGAGCATACCCATCAAGAGGTCAGAGTTGACGCCTCGCTCGTGCGCCTAATCGACAATGACACAGCTGTACTTAGAGAACTCTTGGTCGTTCTCGAAGTCCTGGATCAAATTGCTATTGGTGGCATGAACCATCTTGCTCTTGGAGCTGGTTTTATCATCGAACCGCACTCTGTACTTCAACCTCTTCGCCCACTTTGACGTCAAGTACCTCTGCCACGCGTCCAGCCACGGAGATGGCAGCCGTGCGACGCGGCTGGGTGCACAACCTGCAAGCCCGCTGAACGGTCGTGGAAGTGAACGAGGGAGGGGATCTCGGTGGTCTTGCCCAACCAGGTGTCGCTTGACAAGACCACGACGCGCGTCTGCTGGTATATTTCAAGGGAAGCCTGCCGCTGCCTGAAAACAGGCAGCTCGTGGGGCTTGGCCAGGGGCGTTCTGTAATTTTCGGGGTGAGGTGTCTTCGCCTCCTTCAGCCAATTGAATTGTCCATTCTCCGCGCGCGTGATATCATCAGCGGTGATTCTGGTGGCAGACATCTCGAGGTCGCAGTCGTGGTCGTCTTCGTGGTTAACGCTGTGATTAAGACTGTATTTGACGTTGACGTTGACGTTATGGTTGTGGTTGCGGCCGGGGGAGGGGCAGGGAGAGGAGAGGTATCTGAACCAAATAATTACACCCGTGGATGCACCTTCCCAACCTTTTGACCCCCGCCCACCCAAGTGTGGTGATAATCTTAGAAGGGAAGACCGACCACCCTGGGGCAGTCAGGAAATGTTCATAAGAAAAGTCTAGAAAGGGAATCGTACTAGGCATTCTTGTCCAGAACATAATCATCATCAATACAACCTAGAGGGGGGTAACCTAGAGGGAGGTAACCTAGAGGGAGGTAACCTAGAGGGAAGTAACTAAGGAGGAGGTAGCTAGAGTAGATGATAATACTTTTAAGTATAAACTAAAAGAGATAAATAGAGTTATATTAATAGCTGAATTAACTTATATTAACAAAGCTAGTATAAATATTGTTATTGGTAACCAACTAAGGCTATAGTGTTTAGGGCTATAGTAAAGTAACTAACTGCAACTGAGTGGGAATGAATTCCTCTACGGACTCTTTGTCGATCCCTGTGTCGAGCATGTCATGTCTTCCGTGGTATCGTCGGAACAATATACAAGGTAGAAGCGGATGAGCTGGTCCCGTTCTGAGTCCAGGTTATGTAAATTGACGATGACTAGTTGTTTACTAACTACGTCGCGATGCAGGGCGTCTAGGCGGTGAGCTAGGTCGTCACCATTGATGTTTTGATTGGCATAATCATCACCTCGGGGTAGCAATGCAGCTGAGGGATGGAGGGTTTATTGTCAGCACTGAGGTCGAGTTCATGCTCATGGTCTTCGACCGTGGAATCTTGATTATCCTCAGCATCGGCGTTCTCCGCAAGGAGCTCGTCTTTCGTGATGACCACGGCTGTATCAAGATCTTGCTGAATAGAACGAATGGCTTCAGTCTTCCACTGTCGCCAGTGCTTATGCCATTTGAAGTCGAACGCTTGCTTGTTGTCGGAGTCAGCTAGCTTGCCTCGGAGTTCTTGGACGTCTATGTCGAAGATATGCTGCACGTGGCGAAGCAGGCAGCGGATCTTGGGATCCTCTATAGGGAGCTCAGCGCTGGGCGGAGGGTTGTCGTCGATGGCCAGCTTTTGAATCTGCTTGGCGATCGGTCCAAGTGTCAGAGCAGGAAGATCGCAGACGTAGTCCAATTCTTGACCTCATCGTCCTGACTAGAGTCGATCGATCGTGTCGTCGGTGGCAACTGTCTCGGGCTGCAATAAGAACTCCAGACTGGGGCGGATGCGGTACTCCGAGTCCTCGTCGTCAAGCGACTTCGGGCTGCGGCGCTACATCGGGTTCCTAGGAGCGATTGAGCTTC